AACAGGCTATTTTTATAGTCTCAACGTATCCTCCTTATAAGGATATGTTGTTAATTACAAAGAGAAAAACAGTAACTTTACAGGGAAGAAATTTGGCAGAAACCACCTTAAGTGATCAAGGTTAATATCACCAGGAATAGGATAAAGTGGCATTATGTGTCTCCTGATGTAATGAAATGAGAAAGACACAACATTATTTCAGCCAAAAAACCAGACATGCATGTTGGGAGAAATTCTATTATATACCCAACCCTGAACTCTTCTAAAATTTTAAAGGTCATAACAGACAAAGAATGAGGAAATGTTCCAAATTAAAGGATTCTCAAGAAACATGACAAATAAATTAACCTGATACTGAGAAAAATTTTCATATGAAGAACATTATTTTCACAACTGGCAAAAATTTTAAAAGGTCTATGTATTAGATAATAGTATTGTGTGAATGTTAATTTCCTGATTTTGATAACGGTATTTAGGTAAGAATGTCCTTGTTCCTAGAAAATATACAGTGAGTATTTAAAAGGGACACCATGCTTGCAACTTATTCTCCAATGACTCAGAGGAAAAAACAACAACAACAAACACACACACACTCACACACGCATATAAACAGAGAGATGATAAAGTAAATGTGGCATGATGTTAATAACTGGGGAATCTGAAGGATATAAGGGAATTCTTTGAACTATTCTTGCAACTTAAAGTATTTCAATAAAAAGTTACTAAAATACTATCAACTTTAAAATATAAGTATTTATCTTTATAATATCAAAGTAATACAGGATTTCTTAAACATGACACAAAAACACAAATATAAAGGAAATGGCAAATAAATTTGACTACATAGAAATACCATGGAGAGAATGAACCAATAAGCCAAAACGGAGAGAAATTATTTGCAACACATAATACCAACAAAGGACTAGTGTCTAGGATATATAAAGAATTCCCACAAATAAACAAGAAAAGACAACAAACCAAACACAAAAACAGGCAAAAGAATTAACAGAAAATTCATAAAGGAGAATGGCCAATAAATAAAGTAAGTTCAACCTCATTGGTAATCAAGGAAATTTCACAGCAGTACTGTTCATAATAGCCTCAAACTAAAACAACCCAAATGTCTATCAACAGCAGAATAGATAAACGAACTGTGGTATATTCATACAATGGGAATCTATACACTTGACAGTATTGACAATGAATAAGCGATAGCCACATATGTGAACATGGATGAATCAAAAGAAAACAAACAGTATGATTCCATTTAGATAAAGTTCTAAATATAGGAGAAAAGAATTTTTTAAATTAGCACTTAGGGCTGCATAATGAGTAGTAAAAAAACCAACCAAACCACAGGGGAAAAGCAGAAAAGCAAAAGCATGACTATCATCAAAAATTTGAGACTACAGTTATCTTGGAGCAGGGAGAGTGGGAACACAATAAATGAGAGGGGTACAAATAGTGCTTCTTCAGTATGTATAAACATTTTATTTCTTAATCTGGATAGTAATTACATGGGTATTTAAAACTGTATTCACAGGTTTTACAAGCTTTTCTATAGGTATAATATATTTCTCTAAAAAGAGGGACAGAATGCTCACAACTTAGCCCTAAGACCTTTAAACGGTAATCTTTAAAAGAAAGAAAAGAAAGAACAGCCAGTGAGGTAAGGAAAAAAGTCATGGAAGTGTGGTGTTTCTGAAGCCAAGAGAAAAAAAAGAGGGAATAGTTAACAGTTCAAATATTTGTGAGAGGCAGAGTAAACTTTCACACAACACATAAAAAAGTACTGTTCTCTGTTTGATGAATTATTTATCTTATAATGTAGACACTATTCTGCAACGACAAAGGATTTATTAATACAATAAAAAAAGGATGGTAACATTCTGGTTATTTTATATTCAGAAACCAAAATTTTAAATTGTATTTTTAAAATGTCCTCCTCCCACAATGCAGAACATTAATTATACCAACAGTATGTATTCAATTACTGAAATACGTGCAGTTCTGCATTTGCAAACTTGAGTGATAGCCCCAATTTCTATCATTTGTTATTAAAATGGTAATTACAAAGACCTTTGGCTCTCCCAAATTGTACATATGAGTAGGGGCTGATAACAAATACAGTCATCCCTCAGTATCCACAAGGGATTGGTTCCAGCACACTCCCCAACCCCCCACCCTATAGACACCAAAATCCAAGGATGCTCAAGTCCCTTATATAAAATTGTATGGTATTTGCATATAATCTCTGCACATACTCCTGCATACTGTGAATCATCTCTAGATTGCTTATAATACCTGGTATGTTGTAAATGCTATGTAAATAGGTGTAAGTACACTGTAATGCTATGTAAAATAGTTGCTGGTACAAGGTAAATTCAAGTTTTGCTTTTTGGAACATTATGGAATTTTTTTCCCTCAAATATTTTTGATCTGCAGTTGGTTGAATCCACAGATTCCAAACCTGTAGATATGGAAGCCCAACTGTATAAAACACAAAAATTTGGTCAGACTAAAACAGAAACTTTAACAATTTAGGAACATGAACTGAACAATGTACTTGACATTTTCAGTTATAAATAACAAAAAGCTTTAACACTAAATTTACCATTTTTTTTCTAGAAAATTTTGGACAACAATTTGGCTAAGGATTCTTTTTTCTCACCTATAAAATGAAGATAAACTAAATATCACTTGAAGTCTCAACTAATATTTTATGGTGTCATCTGGGAAAGAAAAATCAATCACAAAGGGTAATAAAATTAAAATACTTTTAACTAAATAATAAACCACACTTCGAGAGTTGCAAAACCAAAAAGTATATTAACCTAATGATATATCCAAGTAGGCTCTCCACTACTTTTCCCTTTACATAAAGGTTTATTTTAAAAGTTTAAATTATTGAGAACTAATTTTAAATAAAAGAAGGAAGCTCTCCAAAGCAACATTTGTATGAGTAATGCAGAAGACTACTTTTATTAGTGCAAAAATGCAACTTCACACAAACTTAGGGTTAAGATGAAAAGTTCTGATGTTTAAAAAACAAAAACAAAAAATTGTAAATCCTCTTCTTTGAATAAAGGAAAAACATACTACTAATTTAGGTCCTTGTTTTAAAGTATCACTACTTAAAAAAGGAAACGTATTTCTCTTAAGACCACTTATACCAGTATTTTGCTGGTTATATTGGGCTGGCCAAAAGGTTCACTCGGTTTTTTCTGTAAGACACCTTTAGTAGCACTTAGTTGTCTTTAACTTCATTTGAAACAGTTTTGTTAGATTGTATTGTGACAGCTATCAGATCAGCATGCATTTTAAAAAAAACTTATCAAAATTGGTGAATTTCTGTGTAGCCATTTTAATATTGAAGATGGAAGAAAAAAAGCAACATTTTCAGCATATTATACTTTATTATTTCAAGAAAGGTAAAAACACAACTGAAACACACAAAAAGATTTGTGCAGTGTATGGAGAAGGTGTTGTGACTGATCAAACATGTCAAAAGTGGTTTGCAAAGTTTCGTGCTGGAGATTTCTTGCTGGACGATGTTCCACAGTTGGGCAGACCAGTTGAGTTGATAGCGATCCAATTGAGACATTAATTGAGAACAATCAATGTTATACCATGTGGGAGATAGCCAACATACTCAAAATATCTGAATCAAGCACTGAAAATCATTTGCACCAGCTTGGTTACGTTCATCGCTTTGATGTTAGGGTTCCACATAAGCGAAAAAAAGCCTTCTTGACCGTATTTCCGCATGTGATTCTCCACTTAAACGTAATGAAAACGTTTTGTTTTCAAAACAAATTAAGACAGACGATGAAAAGTGGATATTGTACGATAATGTGAAACGGAAGAGATTGTGGGGCAAGCGAAATGAACCACCACCAACCACACCAAAGGCTAGTCTTCATCCAAAAAAGGGGATGTTGTGTATATGGTGGGATTGGGAGGGGGAGTCCTCTATTTTAATTAGCTCCTTCTGGAAAACCAAACGATTAATTCCAACAAGTACTGCTCCCAATTAGACCAACTGAAAGCAGCACTCGACAAAAAAGCGTCCAGAATTAGTCAACAAAAAATACGTAATCTTCTATCAGGATAACATAAGACCACATGTTTCTTTGAGCACCAGACAAAAACTGTTACAGCTTGGTTGGGAAGTTCTGATTCACCTGCTGTATTTACCAGACATTGCACCTTCGGATTTTCATTTATTTCAGTCTTTACAAAATTCTCTTAATGGAAAAAATTTCCATTTCCCGGAAGACTGTAAAAGGCACCTGGAACAGTTCTTTGCTCAAAATGATAAAAAGTTTTGAGAAGATGGAATTATGAAGTTGCCTGAACAATGGCAGAAGGTAGTGGAACAAAAGGGTGAATACGTTGTTCAATAAAGTTCTTGGTGGAGCTTCCCTGGTGGCGCAGTGGTTGAGAGTCCGCCTTCATCAGGGGACACGGGTTCGTGCCCCGGTCCGGGAAGATCCCACATGCCGTGGAGCGGCTAGGCCCATGAGCCACAGCCGCTGAGCTTGCACGTCTGGAACCAGTGCTCCGCAACAGGAGAGGCCACAACAGTGAGAGGCCCGTGTATCGCAAAAAAAGTTCTTGGTGAAAATGAAAAATGTGTCTTTTATTTGTACTTAGAAACCAAAGGAACTTTTTGGCCAACCCTATAAATCAACTTATTTAAACCAGTGGTAATATATAAGACTATTAATTTCAAGCAAATGGTTGCATGGTTTATAAATAATGAGTAATATTAATGTTAGAAAATAAATTCAATTTCAGGTATCCACTTGTTTTTGCCAACTAATAGAATCTACTAATATTAAGATTCAATTAATGAACACATTTTCGTTCCATGATTCTCACTTTTCTTTAGAAATCCTGAGAGAATCCAAGAAGAAACCACCTGACATATATGGATTAATAAATGAAACTTTTAACTTCAGAAAGCTTGTTCTGTGACCCAAAAGAGAACTACTCACCGAAAGCCATAGGGGGTTCAAGGGATGGCTGGCCATCACCAGTAGGAAGGTCTAAGCGAGTGAAGTCTCTGCTTTTGTCGTTATTATATTTCACATTAAGGCTGGTAAGCTTGGAGAAGTCAATACGCAGAGTGCAGCATGCATTATAGATATTCTGGCCATCCAGAGCCTAAATAAAGCATGTAAGAAAGCATGATGTTTTACAAGATAATAACAATAATAAATCAAGTAGCCTCTATTTTGACAGAGTGGCAATCAGGCATAAAGCAAAGAGGACTAAACTAAAAGCCAAAGACCTGGGTTTACTTTTAACTCTGTCACTGTGTGAGCCTAAGAGAGAAAATGAAAATCTCTATTTCTCAGTTTTTTCATCTGTAAAGTAAGGATAATAATCTCTATCCTGTCTATGATAAGAGCAAACGGAAGAGGAGAAATGTATAAGCTTAGAAAACTATTATACATTATTGTACATTGTACTAATTATTATGATGATTATTTTTTAAATGTTTCTAAATTTTACATTTCATCTTAATTCATTTTAGTGTACTTTATATAGGTTAAGATGAAATAAAGCCTTTGTAAATGGTACCTGTCAGAACCACAATATGTGAAATATTATCTACCACTTACTGTTTTTCTTGTTAAGTTTATTTTCTTTGAGTAATAAACTTGAGGGAAGTTTTGAGTCAGATCAGATACAAGACCAAAAATCAGCAAACCCTCCTTTGAAAATAATAAAGACTTACCAAAGGGATATTTATAGCTACTTATGACTTCCACAAACACTTCAATTTATAAAAATAGATACCAGAAACCAAAACATAAAAATATCAATTAAAAAAAACCATACAAATATACAAAAACCCCTGACTTATCATGATAGTTATTGACCAGTATGCCATCATGAAGGTACAAAATAATATATGTGGGTAGAGGGTACAGCAAATATAAATGTTATTCCTAATCAAGAACTAGACACTTTGTGATTCACAAAAGTACTATAAACCTTAGTCCCTATCTTTGGAAAAAAATTAGAAATAATTCAGATACCAATACAAGACAGAATTAGAGTTAGGGATAGATCTCAATAGGAGATGGGTCAAACGTAACCAAACTGAATGTGAAGTTTTACATCCTGTGAAAAGTCAAGCACTCATGTACTAACAAGAAGACAATATGAATTTAAGGCAGCATATTTCCTAAGATTTAATGTCTTTAGCAATTTAGAGCTCAATGAAATTCAACAGTGAATATGGTTGCAAAAATACTGAAATCAATCAATCTTTGGCTCACTTAATATAAGTAAATGAGGCACTAGGGTAAAGATAATCCTACTTTATTAGTCAGATTATATCAGAAGTACTGTGCTCAACTCTATACTTTAAATAGGACAAACAGAAATGAGTCCCAGAAATCTGAGAAATGATAGGTGATTTGAAACCATTTCATATGAAGAAAGAAGTAATTTTTAGACTATAAGAAGAGCATATGGAACAGTACTTTTAAAAATGGTAAATTTCAGTATGTATATTTTATTACAATTTTCAAAAAAAAACACATGGTAAACTACAGCAAAGGAGAAGACATGATGGCTTTCTCTGGTATCACTGAAGTGACTGATTAACAACTGAAAAATGAAAAAAAGATCATAATTACCATTTTGGCATAATGTGCATTCAATGGGTCAGCATACTGAAGCAAGGCTTGAAACTGATTATTCTTTGTAAAGGTGATAATCTTTAAGACTGTGCCAAATTTAGAAAATATCTGGAAAAAAGTTCACATTAGGTTAAATTTAAGGAAAAAACTTGCTAACATATCTTTATAAATACAACTTGATTCATTAATCCCAGGTTTTTTTTTTTGTTTGTTTTGTTTTGTTTTCTTGCGGTACGCGGGCCTCTCACTGTTGTGGCCTCTCCCGTTGTGGAGCACAGGCTCTGGATGCGCAGGCTCAGCGGCCATGGCTCACAGGCCCAGCCGCTCCGCGGCATGTGGGATCTTCCTGGACTGGGGCACGAACCCGTGTCCCCTGCATTGGCGGGCAGACTCTCAACCACTGCGCCACCAGGGAAGCCCCTGAATCCCAGTTTCAAATGAAAATAATTTCCTCTATTAAAACTATCGGTACCAAAATCACTTCAATCAAGCCTAAGATGTTCATGTTTCAACACTCGTGCATGGCTTAAAACAGTGCCTGACACATAACAGGCACTAAATATTTAACCTATTTTATAGCATGTCATAAATGGCACAATACTGAATCAGGAGGTTACAACAGGAATTAATTAATGCTATGAGATGTTGGTGTTACAAAGCATATACCTGGAAGTGGAAGAGTCATACGGATCAACTATTTCAGCCTGAGAATCAGCATCTACTTGAAATTTTTATAGACAGGAAAACTACAAAATATTCAACAAAATGAACAACAGAATGTTCAATGCTCTAATAATTCATCAAATACTCATAGAGCACTGTTCTAAGCTCTAGAAAGTCAGCAGTGAACAAAACAGTAACAAGAGTCTCAATATGGGCTCATCAATTTTAAACAATAGTACCATACTAATGTTAATAATAGGGGAAACTGTGTATGTCTGTGGCGGTAAGGAGGTATATATATTCTGCTCAAGATTTTTGTGAACTAAAAATGCTCTAAAGAATTCTAGTAAAAAACAAAATGTGAAACAGGAAAAAAAAAACCTGAAAAAGGCAGAAAGAGAAGGGGGAAGAAACAACAAACAAGTAGGAAACAGTTACCAACCTAGTAGATATAAGCCCAACTATATAAAAAATCACTTTAAATGTGAATGTTCTAAATATGCCAATTAAAATACATACTTGTCAGAGTGGGCTTTTTAAAAAGCACAAACAAAACCCACCTCCAGGTTATTCATCAGAAACCCACTTTAAATATAAAGACTCAAGCTAAAGGGAGAGAAAGATACACCATGCTAACACTAATTTTTAAGAAAAGCTGGTACAGCTATATTAATTTTAGACAAAGCTGACTTTTGAAGAAAAATTATCAGGGATAAAGAGGGAGGGTATATAATAATAATAGGGGTCATTTATCCAAGAAGACATAACAACCCTTAATATGTATGTGCTTCATGAAAAAGAATCAAAATACTTAAGAAAAAAAGCTGCTGGACTATAAAAACACTATTGTAGCTGGAGACTTTTAACACCGCTCTGTCACTAATTGACAGATCCAGAAGTCAGAAAATCAGGAAGGATATAGCTGAACTGAATAGCATCATCAATCAACTGGATCTAATTGACATTTATAGAACAGTGCACCCAATAATAGAATACACATTCTGAATTTTGCATGAAACACTGACCAAGATAGACACATTCTGAGCCATAAAACACACTTTAACAAATTTAAAATAACAGAAATCATACAGTGTATGTTCTCAAACAATTATAGATTTAAACTAAAAATCAATAACAGAAAAAAATAACCTGGAAAATCCTCAAAGAAAGAAAAAAAAGAAAGAAACGAGTCTCTGCTCTCATAAGGAAAGACAGACGATAAACAAATAAGCCAATAAATAACAATGTCTGGTCATAAAAAAGTGTTTTGCTTTAAAAATAAAAGGGAAAGGGATGAGAGTGAACTGGAATGCAAGTTGGGAAGGTGCAAGGGTGCTCAAGGAAGGCGTCTCTAAGGAGTCTTTAGAGAAGCAGAATAAACAGAGTTGGGGGAAAGTTTCCTGACAGACCCCTGGTTACCAATGCTCTTACAACACTTGTTATACTTCCCCACCACAAGTTCAGGGCCAGGGTTACTACAATGCATTTTGCTTTCCTCTGACATCCCATTTTAAATCTACAACACTTGTTATACTTCCCCACCACAAGTTCAGGGCCAGGGTTACTACAATGCATTTTGCTTTCCTCTGACATCCCATTTTAAATCTGGATTTTAATAAGCCAGAAACTTGCCCTTCTGCTTCTAAGGATAAAAACATAAGTATTCCCTATGCTGCTAAGAATTTGCTGTTATCAAATACTATGTATGTGTCTCCTTAATAGGCAAATGGTCCTGCTTTTTAATTATCAGAAAGAATGATCAAGAATAACTATCCTAGGGATTTCCCTGGTGGTCCAGTGGTAAAGAATCCGCCTGCCAATGCAGGGGACATGGGTTCGAGCCCTGGTCTGGGAAGATCCCACATGCTGAGGAGCAACTAAGCCCGTGCGCCACAACTACTGAGCTTACACTCTAGAGCCCACGAGCCACAACTACTGAGCCCGTGAGCCACAACTACTGAAGCCTGTGCACCTAGAGCCCATGCTTTGCAACAAGAGAAGCCGGTGCACCGCAACAAAGAGTAGCCCCTGCTCGCCGCAAATAGAGAACGCCCATGCGCAGCAACAAAGACCCAACACAGCCAAAAAATAAATAAATGTATTAAAAAAAAAAAAGAATCTGCCTTCCAATGCAGGGGATGTGGGTTTGATCCCTGGTCGGGGAACTAAGATCCCACATGCTGTGGGGCAACTAAGCCTGTGCGCCACAACCACTGAGCTCACGTGCCGCAACTGCTGAGCTTGCGTGTCTCAACTAGAGAGCCCACATGCCACGAACTACAGAGCCCATGTGCTCTGGAACCCCTGCACCACAACCACAGAGCCCACACGCACTGGAGCCTGTGTGCCACAACTAGAGTAGAGAAAACCCACATGCCACAACTAGAGAGAAGGCTTCATGCCGCAACGAAGATCCTGCACGCCACAACGAAAGATCCCACATGCCTCAATAAAGATCCCACACGCCACAACGAAAGATCCCGCATGCCTCAATAAAGATCCCACATGCCGCAGCTAAGACCCAATGCAGCTAAAAATAAATAAGTAAATAAAAAATAAATCTTAAAAAAAAGAATAACTATCCTAGAGCACAGGCAACAAAAGAAAAAATAGATAAATTCAACTACATCAAAATGGACACTTATGTTCATCAAGACTATCAACTGACTTGAAAAGACAACCCACAAAATGGGAGCCAATATTTGCAAATCATGAATCTGATAAGGGGTTAATATACAGAAATATAAAAAAAACTCCTACAACTCAACAACAACAAAAACCCAATTTTAAAAACAGGCAAAGGATTTGAATTTCTCCAAAGATAATCAATAGCAACAAGCACTTGAAAAGATGCTCAATGGGAACTCCCTGGTGGTCCAGTGGTTAGGACTGCCAAGGGCCCAGGTTCGACCTCTGGTCAGGTCAGGGAACTAAGATCCTGCAAGCCGCGTGGTGTGGCCAAAAAAAAAAAAAAAAGAAAAGATGCTCAACATCACTAATCATCAAAATGCAAATAAAAACTACAACAAAATACCACTTCACGCCCCCATTAGGACAGGTACTATTAAAAAATCCAAAACAAACAGAAAAGATTAAGTGTTGGGGAAGATGTGGAGGAAGTGGAACGCTTGTGCACTGTTGATGGAAATGTAAAATGGTGCAGTGGCTATGGAAAACTGTATGGGGATTCTTCAAAAAAAATTAAGAAGAAAATTACCATATGATCCAACAACTCCATTTCTTGGCATATACCCAAAAGAATTGAAAGCAGAGACTCAAAGAGATAATCTGAACACCTATGTTCATAGCAGCATTATTTGCAATAGCCAAAAGATGGAAGCAACTCAAGTATCCATCCACAGATGAATGAATAAACAAAATGTGGTATATCCGTACAATGGAATATTATTCAGCCTTAAAAACAAAATTCTGACACATGCTACAACATGGATGAACCCTGAAGACAATGAGTTAAGGGAAATAAGCCAGTCTCAAAACAACAAATGATGCGTGATTCCGCTTATATGAGGAACCTAGAGTAGGCAAATTCACAGACAGGAGGAAGAATGGTGGTTGCCACGGGCTGAGAGAAGGGAGGAATGGGGTGGGGAGTTACTGTTTAATAGGTACAGGAGTTTCAACGGGAAGATGAAAACATTTCTAGAGATACATGCTATTTGGTGATGGTTGCAAAAAAATATAAATGTACCTAATGCCACTGAACTGTACAATTTAAAAAAGTTAAAATGATAAAATTTATGTGTATTTTACCACCCTCCAAGATAAAATAACTATCCTAAAGTCCAAATACTCATTTTTGGCAAGATATGCTTTAATATATTATTAGCTTCGAGTTAAACATTTCTTATAAGAAATAAGAAGATCAACAAGATTTGTGGAACCAATTTGTCTTGGAAGGGATCACCAGAAAATGCCATTCCTTAAAAGTTAGATAGTCTGAAGGTTCTTTATTGAAATTTAAAACTTTTAATAAAATGTAGCTAATTTCATTATGGTCATATTTCAGGGTTTAGAACTTTGAGACCTTAACCCCTCATTATAACTGTATTTTGAAAAACACTAGGAAATTTTTTGTTTTGTTCTTTTAATGAAAACTTTGGCCTTGTAACAGGTTATTTCCTCAGCACACCCTCATGTCCTAGATAATATTCTTAAAGTTTATAGAAGAATACCAAATTTACTTTCTTCTCAGCTGTCAAAGATTTTATGTTGTATCTTTCTTTAAGATATAGGTATAAGCATTCTTGGGAAAAGGTATTATGTTTTCTTAATTTCCATCCTTGGTGATACTATGGTGTTACATGCATGCACACACATCAATCTATATATTGTAAGTGCATCAATTGAGGTTTGTTTGCTTTTTTTTTCGCCTGATAAAGTAGTAACAATGTTAAAAATGTGTATGTATATATATAAAAGGAGAT